CACACACACACACACACACACACTAATCACTATTTTGTATATAGAGCAGGGGTCTTCAAACTTGACAGCTTTAAGACTTGTGGACTTCAACTCCCAGAACTCCTCCTCCAATCATGATCGCTCAGGAATTCTGGGAGTTGAAGCCCACAAGTCTTAAACTTGCCAAGTTTGGAGACCTTTGATATAGAGATATGGAAGAAGCAGAAAAATAAAGAAAAATGGCCCTGAGAATTTTTAAGCAAAAGTCATTAGTCCCTGCTAAGTTTCCAAAGATCATGTCGAATGCGAGATTCTGTGGTCCACAAAAAAGTTTGATCTGGGTTTATGTCCTTAAAATTGAAAAGCCAGCTGTCATACAGCTTTGACTTCTGACTTGAAATAACATTTCATTTTGGCTGGTACACTTGTAACAAAAATAATGATGCTAGCCATTGTGATCTTACCCAATCATTCTCTTTCCCCAACAGGATTTGATTGACGACCTGAAGTCTGAGCTGAGTAAGAATTTTGAGAAAGTTATTATTGGACTGATGACCCCTATCACTCTGTATGATGTGGAGGAGCTGAGAAGAGCAATGAAGGTTTGCCAAAAAATAATAATGTTTAACTAGCACAAAGGACCAGAGATTTGTGTGGAGTTGTCCATGGGGCTGTTTTATGTCAGACCCACACCTGTATCTCAAAAGGTCACCTGGAATATATTCTTTGAGCGGTTGGCTTCAAAGTTCTAGGAAGTGGGTGGCGTGGAAGTGCCTTACCCACCTCTAGATGCTACCTGGCAACATGGATTCAGCTAGGTCCTGGGGAAGATCAAAAGTCAAGGAGATCTCTGCAGCTACGTGATTCAAGCTCCATCCTTTCTATACAAATATTGGCACATGTTAACACTCGAACACAGGGTTGGACTAGAAGACCTCCAAGGTCCCTTCCAGCCCCATTACTGTATGTTCCATGTAAAAAAGAAGTGAGCAGTTACGGCCATGACCGTAACTCGACTTTTCATCTCCTCTTCCCCTGCTCAATTTAGCATATTGTAAACCAGGGGTCTCCAACCGTGGCAACTTTAAGACTTGTGAGCTTCAACTCCCAGAATTCCTCAGCCAGCTTGCTTTAAAGACCCACAAGTGGGCTATCGCAAAAGCTTCTATGGGTCGGAGGCCCTCTTTGATTGTACATGGAGTCTGATAATAATAGGTAGACCATAAACCATGATAATTGGTTGGAAAATAAGGATCTGGGGAGCTGCCTGAAGTTGTAGGCGTGTTCTCCATCCGTTCCTGGTTTCCGTCTCCCTACTTTGGGGTATTCTGTGCACCTACGAGAGCAGGAAATTGCAGTAGACACATTTTCCATCATATTACCGCAGCCAGCATTTTCATAAAATTCCACACAGTCTCTCAGCTTGAGATCTGTGAGCTTTGGTTTCCACTCTGTGGTCGGTCAAAATTATTTTGAAGCTTGGAGATGTTCCTAGGAAAACCTTGTTTCTGTTGGTGTTTGCCCAGCTCTGGCGCTCTGTTGAAGCCCTTTTGTCTTGTCTTCTTGCAGGGGGCTGGAACGGACGAGGGCTGCCTGATAGAAATCTTGGCCTCTCGTACCAACGAGGAAATGCGGAGGATTAATGACACCTACCGCCGTCGTGAGTATTCGGTCCCATAGCCTTCGTCACTCACCTGAAGCCGATTCACGGAGTTTTCCAGAATCACATGGCCAGCCGGGCACAGACGTCAGCCGGAAACCTTGATTTCCATTTATATGTTATGTTTGGTGGTAGGCAGACCTACCATAGACAATGCTTTTAGATACTCTCCCTAGAATTTGTGTGGGCCCAATCTCAGAGTTTAGTATACAGAGGTCTCCAAACTTGGCCACTTTAAGACTTGTGGACTTCCAACTCCCAGAATTCTCCAGCCAGCTTTGCTGGGAGTTGAAGTCCACAAGTCTTAAAGTGGCCAAGTTTGGAGACCTCTGGTTTAGTGGGATTCCCCGTTGTCACAACTGTCTGCAGACCATGGTCAAAAGAAGTCAAGATGGCATTACTGATGGTGCAGAGGAGAAATCAAGATGGCGTCAATGATGGCTGTTAGGGATACACCCTAGCAGAATCTGCACGGCAGTTAGGCAGGCAGGCAAAATATGTGAGATAAACGTTTTTGTAGCTTACACTCAGTAAAACAGATTCACCGTGCTAGTTAAATAGTTTATTCCAGTAAGAGTTATAGCATAGTCAAACAGTCCATATATCATTCACTAGTTCAGTCCATCTGGGGATTATTCAGTTGCAAATTCCAGTGTCGAAAAAGAGGTCAGTAAAACTTACAAATATCACTCCAGTAATATATCTCCTTGCAACAGAGATATGAAGAAGTCACACCTCCTTTCTTCCTCCAGCGTTCAGCAACTCAGCAGTAGGGAAACACGCAGTTAACAAACCATCAATCCATCAAATCAGCAATCGTCAGGTTCTCTTGCTCCCTCTTATGGCGGTTTCACACCGTACCCAAAATTACATGCTTTGCAGTTTAAAGTGACACACAATTAAACTTACAATCATAGTTTATATATATTATTTTACCCAAACTACGTTAGGTACCCTTGTTATTCCTAACAACGGCGTCCATAAAAAATAGGCCGATCTGCTATTGCACCATTGCTGTCAGTGATTCAAGGTAGATCAAACTCCAACACACAAAGTCGTGAATATTAAAATTATATTCATGATAGGATTTTTGTCAGATCTGAGTCCAAAAATGACACAATTGAGATCCACCTGAATGCATTTCTTTATGTACTTTCACCCAACGGGCGTACTCTTGCCAGACTAAAACCTTCTAACCGTCCAAATATACCCTGGGAGATTCTGGGGTGCGGCTATTCTGAATTTTTTCCTCCCTCACCCCACACAGTTCAGGACTGCACAGCCTGTTGTCTCGGGCCTCTCTCTGGAATTGTCAGGCGTGAAATATCAGGCTTGCAGTTAAACCGATTGGCATTCACACCTATGCACAGGAATCTTCCCAACTCAGGGTTAGCACCTGACAGGGGTTAGATACGGGCCGGTGGAATTCGAGGAGGGTTGGGCTTAGTTCGCTTGTGGTTATGTAGGGATTCCAGGCTGATCCCGCTTTTCATGCTGACCCCCAGGTTCTGTCAGTCCTTCCAGTACAGGAACGTGCTGTTGCTAATAACTCCTCCACCCAATAGCCTTCCCCAGTTCATGCTCCGTCACACAGTTACAGAATCTTTCCACTCGGAATACACCTCTCCCCCTCACTGGTTGTATCCTAAAGGCAGGTAGGAGGGGTCCTTTCTGCTTTCTCTATCCAATCTTTCCTTGGACTCCATTTCTTGAATCCAGCCATTGCTTCTTCCTCCTGTTTCTCAAGGTTTATTCTCACAGACCCCCAATTTTTTTGAACATGCCCTGCGTGCACACTGGGGGTTGTTTTTCAAGAAGTTGTCAAGCTTTCCTCCGCCCCGCCAATTCTCCGAGTAGGACTGAGATATACGTCTGGGCCTTTTTTTTTGCAGAGTATGGAACCACCCTCGAGAAGGACATTGCTTCAGATACCTCCTCCAAGTTCCAGAGGGTCCTGGTGTCCCTGTCCACTGTAAGTATTTGGCTCTTCTTGTCGTGCCTCAGATCGCTCTTCACACAATGGATGAGTTCGCACCTCGCCCTAAACCAGGGGTCTCAATCTTGGTAACTTGATGACTTGTGGACTTCAACTCCCAGAATTCTGGGAGTTGAAGCCACCAGTTGTCAAGTTGCCAAGGTTGGGGGGCCCTGCCCTAAATCACAGCGTGTCTTTGTTGAGCAAGCATTTTTGCAGGTGATAAGGAGGGATGAGAAGAATAACAGTGGTAGTAGTGCAGTAAAGAGTAAAGAGTTGGACAGTGTTGAGGGAATTATTTGTTTAGCAGAGGGATGGCTTTCGGGGAAAAAACTGTTCTGTGTCTGGTTGTTCTGGTGTGTGGGGCTCTATAGCGTCGTTTAGAGGGTAGGAATGGAAACAGTTTATGTCCAGGATGGGAGGGGTCTGTAGATATTTTCCCAGCCCTCTTTTTGACTCGTGCAGGATCCAGGTCCTCCATGGAAGGCAGGTTGGTATTAATTGTTTTTTCTGCAGTCTTAATTCTCCTCTGAAGTCTGCGTCTGTCCTGTTGGGTTGCAGAGCCAAACCAGACAGTTATGGAGGTGCAGGTGACTGTTGAGTTTCACTTGCCTCCCCTCACCCCCTCACCCCCTTTTCTCCCCAGGGCAACAGAGATGAGAGTTCCCATGTTGACCAGGGTCTGGCCAAAGAGGATGCCAAGGTGAGTAACCCCATTTGCAGGGACTGCCCCAAAGAAGAGGCAGTCAAGCTATTCTCCAAAGCACCTGAAGGCAGGATAAGAAGCCACGGGTGGAAACTAATCCAGGAGAGAAGCAACCTAGAACAATGGATCAGTGGAACGACTTACCAACAGATGCTCCAACACTGGAGGTTTTTAAGATGATGTTGGATAGCCATTTGTCTGAAGTGGTGGAGGGTTTCCTGCCTAGGCAGCGGGTTAGACTAGAAGACCTCCAAGGTCCCTTCCAGCTCTGTTATTCTATGAGCACCAAAATTTTAGCAGCCAAATGGCCATTTGGGGTGACACAATGAGTGCCTCCTTCTTCCCACCCCATAGTCCATGTCAGGGGTCTCCAACTGTGGCCACTTGAAGCCTGGGGGACTTCAACTCCCAGAATTCCCCAGCCAGGCTTCAAGTGGCCAAGGTTGGAGACCCCTGGTCTATGTCACATGCAGAGCATCATGCCAGCTGCATTAAGACCCAGTAAGCTTAAAACGACTATTTTATACAACGTTGCATCCCCGGGAGCCAAAATGTCCTGTCGAACTCCCCCCTTGCCTGCCTGACACCTCGAAGGTGGAGACTTCCATATTTCTTTATCCGTGTGAAGTTGCCCGTCCCTACTGCCTTGTGAGAACAGGGAGGAAGCTGGATCGGTGCAGATGTGCTGGGCTGTGGCTCCAAGCCCCAAACTCTTCCCTTTCCCCTGGCAACGATGTTCATTCCGCTCTTTGCGCTCCTTTTGTCCAGTGCCTGTATGAAGCGGGGGAGAACAAGTGGGGCACCAGTGAGGGCCAGTTCATTACTATCTTGTGCTCCAGAAGCAGGAACCATCTTTTAAGGGGTAAGTGGTCGCGCGAGCGGATGCTTGTTTAAGAAAAAAAAAAAAAAAAGGAACATCGTAGGAATCAAGTGAGCGTTGCGGTGGCCTAGAGGGGAAGTTATCGCCTCGCAGTCAGGAGGCTGTGAATTCAATCCTAGGCAGAGGTAGATATTTCTCTCGCTGGGCACGACGGGAATATAGATCTACTGAATGTAACTCCGTATTGGTGACAGGAAGGGCATCCGGCCAGTAAACACTTAGCTCCCATTCAGTTGCGCAGAACTCCTATGAATGAACACTAAAACGGGATCTGCCCTCCAACTTTAAGCTGTACTGAGAAGCCCCGTGACGGCCAGTTGTAGGCTAGGAATGAGAGTTGCAACAACATATTCCTGAATTAAACAAACTCTATGTTTGTTTAATTCTGGTCACCATGATCCAGAAAAGATACTGAGACCCCATAAAAATGGGCGGAAAAGGGCAGCAAAGATGATGAAGGGTCTGGAGGCTCAAATCGTTATGATGAAAGGTTGAGGGACCTGGGGGTGTCTAGTCCAAGGAAGAGAAGGACTAGGGCAATGGTGGGAGTCAAATAATTTAGCAACCGCTTCTCTGCCCTAATGATTTCTTCCAACAGCCAGTTCACCAAACTGCTCAGAAAGTTAACAACCGGTTCTCCAGAACTGGTGCGAACTGGCTGAATCCCACCACTGGACTAGGGGTGTCATGATAGCTGACTTCCAGTACCTGAGGGGCTGTCACAGAGAGGAAAGGGTCAACTTATTCTCCAAAGCTCCTGAGAATAAAAGAAATCTCCTGTAAGAACGAGTCAAGGGAAGAGCTTGCCTTCAGAAATGCTCCATCGCTGGAAGTTTTCAAGAAGAGACTGCGTGGCCATTTGTCTGGAACGGTATAGGATCCCTGCTCAAGCTGGGGGTTAGACTAGAAGACCTCCAAGGTCCCTTCCAGCTGTTATTCTAACGTTGTTTGACTCAAGGCATGATGGTGTGATCTCCCCATTACTTGTGGCCACCATAGACTTATTTCAGTTCATTCAGGACTATTTTTATTTTATTTTTTAGAAAAAAATATATATATAGTATGAATCAGGAAATGGGGAATATTGGAAATTTGAATATGGAAATATCAAAACAGAGGAGCTTGTGGACATATCTAAGTCTCCAGGTTGGGGAGGTTGGGGAGCTGCTTTTCTTTGGTTTGCTAATGAAAATCTTTATTTATTTATTCATTTAGTATTTGATGAATACAAGAACATCGCTAACAAAGATATTACGGAGAGTATTAAATCCGAGATGTCTGGAGACCTTGAAGACGCCTTGCTGGCAATAGGTGAGGATTCCACATCAGCTTTTATTCTTCTCTAGCTGGTGAGAGTTGCTTGGCAGGAGGTTAACTTGATTCCAGGGTGTTTGCAACATGGAGAGACGGCAATGAAATAACGTGTTGTTGGATCTGGTAACCTCTGCTCGAAGCCAGTTCCTGAATGTAGGCTATGCAAGGAGATTCATTGTTGTCTGGTAAACAGATAAACCTCCAAGTGGCCTCAACGACCCTCTCAAAGGATGCAAATGACCAGCTGTCTGCAAGGAGTATCAATCCTTCCATTCCCCACCGTCCAGTCAGAGCTGAAGAAGATTCTTAAGAGGAGAAGCGAAATGTCTTCAAAGCAAAACCAGAAAGTCCAGTTTGGAAAAAGCACCTTTGGGACATTATTGTTGGTAACAAAAACCTGCTGCAGCCACATGTTCTGAGTTGGCCCACACATCAGGAAGACGCTGGAGCTGAGAATGGCAGTTCCAGCATTTTAGACATTGGATGCTAGCGATATAGAGGAACATTGGAAGTGAAGACTTTTGGATAGGCCGTGCTCAACATATGCAGTATTTTCATTTAGAAAATTATTGTTTCAATAACAAGAAATGATTTTAATTTTTTTTAAATAAAGATTGACTGATTGTTGCTATGCTAACTGTCTTCCTTTATTCTCTCCTCTCCTCTCTCAGTGAAATGCATGAGAAATAAACCTGCCTACTTTGCTGAACGGCTGTACAAATCGATGAAGGTAAACGCATGCGTAAAACCGTCTGCAAACCGAACAGGAGCTCTGCAACAGGCGTGTCCTATTAATGGATTGGTTTCCTGTAATTACATGATCCGGGCTCAGCTCTTGTTGCATAAAAAAGCTGGCATTTAATTCCTGGCCTCTCCAGAACGGGTTGGATAATCCTGTCCTGGTGAAATTCTGCCAGGTTCCAGCACGAACAAGAGGAATTCTATCAGGGCCTTTCAACCTCAGCGGTTTTTAACATGTGGGGACTTCAGCTCCCAGAATGCTGATTGGGGAATTGTGAGAGTTGAAGTCCACACCTTTCAGAAGTCGAGAAACACCGGACTAACAGCTTGGTGACGCACACTTAGCAGGTGCTGATGGAAGGGATTATTTATAGAACGGTGAGGTCCTTGGTTCTCTTCAGCACGGTGGCTTTTAGCAAAAAAGTTTCACCACCAAACTAGCTAACATCCTCAGTCCTGTCTCGAAGTTGAGCCGTGAGAACTGGACGCCTTTTCTTTTTGGTTTGAAATGATTGGCAGCTTATTCCAGCAGTTTCTTCAGCTCGAAGCTCCTTGCGTAAGCAGCGAAATGCTTCAAGCCAATGAGCTGAAGAAACTTCTTGGATGAGAAGCGAAATGTCTTCACAGAAAAAGCAGAAAGTCTAGTTATCTTTGGGACAACTGACCTGAATGACTGAGAATCTCCCGATATTTTAAACCAAAAAGAGCAGAAGTCCAGTTGCCACAGCTCAACTTCCGGACAACTCCGCCTGGGTAACTTGAGAATCTTCCTCCTCAGTGCTACCGCATCTAGTTTGATGACGCTACCTAGTTTGGTAGTGAAACGTCTGCAAGAAAACTGCCACGCTCAGAGCGCCGAGGACTGCGCAGTTAGCAGGTGGCTGCTTTAAAAGGGACAAAAATGTTTTGCATGTTGTGTGACTTGTCTTTCTTTTTCAACCCGAAACCAGGGCTTGGGGACCGATGACGACACTCTGATCCGCCTGATGGTCTCTCGCTGTGAGATCGATATGATTGATATTAAGGCAGAGTTTAAGGGCATGTATGGCAAATCCCTCTACTCTTTCATTAAGGTGAGCTGCGGCATCTGAGCTCACAAGGAAGACCGGGGGGGACAGCAGCGCAGTCTTCCAATAGTTGAGGGGACACTCCAGAGAGCAGGAAGGGGTTTTCCAAACCACCCAAAGGTTGGACTAGATGACCTATAACCGTGATGGCGAACCTAGGGCACATGGGCCACAGGTGGCACACAGGGCCATTTGTGCTGGCACACAAGCTGCACGCAAACTTACCTCACTGCACATGCATGTGCTTCACAGCTGATTTCCAGCGTTTGAGGCCCTTTTCAGCCCCCCAGAAGCTTGAGGAAGACTTCTGCCAAAAACTAGGCCCAATTTCGTCACTGTTTTTCCAAAAATACTGGAAGTGACAAAACGGGCCTAGTTTTCGGCCGGCAAAGGCTGCAGAAGCCTTCCTCAAACCCCTGGGAGGCCAAAAATCAGCTGTGAGGAGCAGTGCAGGTAAAGGGGCGGCAGGGGTGGGTGGGGATTGCGTGCGCGTGTAGGGGACACACATTGCCTTCTGGGTGCTGGCACACGAGCATATAAGCACATGCACAATTTTTGGCGCAGGAGCCCAAAACAGCCACCACTGACCTATAAGGTTCCTTTCAATTCTGTTAATCTGTATCTGGAGGTGCGCTGCACAAAACTGAACCTTACTGGAGCACTTCCAGCCAGTCATGTGTAGGTTGTGGTAAAAAACATCAAGATGGCAGCCACCGGGGTATGATGGAAACTCGGCCTATTTTCTCTGTGTGGTGGAACCTGGGCTGAATCATGATGGTACCCTTTTCTGACTACACCTTGTGGCTTCCAAGTAAGGCAGGAGCGGTCCATTTTAAACACACCTGTGAACTTTATTCCGCCCACCTGTAGTTCAGAGGTGAAGGTTAAGGCAGGCGGGGTGAGCCCTGCTTTGCTAGAATTTGCATTTAGTAAAATAAAAATGAACTCTGCTTTGTTTTTCCCCTCTAGGGAGACACCTCTGGGGACTACAGGAAAGTTCTGCTCCTTCTGTGCGGCGGAGACGACTAAGAGCTTCAAGATGTCTTCCCCACATTGAAGCCATGTGGCTGGCTGTCCCCATAGAATCACCCTTTTATGACTTGGGGACTTCAACTCCCAGAATTCCCGAGTCAGGAATTCTGGGAGTTGAAGTCCCCAAGCCATACAAGGGCCATACTTCCCCACCCCGGCCATGACGAGTAGTCGAACCTTTCACAGAAATGTTTTTGTTTTTTTAAAATGCCAACCATATCATGCTAACATTGATTGTACCTCTGCTCTTCTCTATGTCTCAATTTAAAAAAGAATTTTAGTCCCTGTTTTGAAACAGGTCGACAAGATGCAGCATAAAACGACTAATACAATATTTTAAAATCCTGGCTCCTTCCCGTTTATTCCGCAGAAAGGTGAGGTTTTATTGCACACAGGGTTGAGGAGGCCGTAGGGGGAGATTGTTCCCCTGAGGACTGTGGCAAGGTGTGATCCTAATGGGGAGGCTCCGTTATGTCGAAGGACTGCTTGTAGAAATGGTGAACGGCCCAATTTCTGACACGAGGCGGGCAGCTCCTTCCTGATGGCAAGGTGGAAGGGTCCTTGAAGTCTCAGAGATGCGTTTCTCACCTGTACCCCCCATCACCTGAGTTTGTGATGCTGTATTTTACACTCACCCAGGGACTTTTGCCTCACTAACGTGGAGCTTAGGCTCCAGGGCAGGCGAAACCTTGCAGGGAGGCAGCTGCTTCAGCCGAGGCGGGATCCAGCCAGTTCAGAGCAGTTCTGGAGAACTGGGAGCGGAAATTTGGAGTCGTTTGGAGAACCGGCCAATCCCACCTCTTGCTGGGCCCCGTTTATTCTCTGCCTCCCACTGAGTCCCAGCTGATCGGCTGGGTCTCCTTTGGTTGCCCTGCACAGGAAAATGGAGCTGGAAAGCAGGTTAGCGGGGTGGGTAGGGGGATTTTGCAGGATCCTTCCCCTGCCACGCCCACCAAGCCACGCCCAGAGAACTGCTAGTAAAAAAACTTGAATCCCACCACTGTGCTTCAGACAGCGCTAATGGCACCTATGAGGTTCCTGTTAATTATCACTCCCACACAGCTCATGTCAAGGAACTTTTGTTAAAAAACACAACTATATGAGGAAGGAAGGAAGGAAGGAAGGAGAAAAGAGCCTAATGCTGGGAAAAGAAGGAGGGGACAGGAGAGGAGGTGGTGGCTGAAGTCACGGAAGCTGTCGGCGTGAGCTTAACTGGACCCCAGAAGATGGCAGAGGTCAGGAAGGCCTGGAGGAATGTGGTCCATGGGGTCACGATGGGTTGGACTTCGCAACTAACAGCAGGGAGGTGGCTACGAGCCTTCCTTTACGCTGGAGTTTAGTGGCTCAAGTCAGCAGAGGGTTAAAAGAAAATCCCCATGAATGCCCTTCTATAAATACCACCCGCCAACTCTTCTGACATCTGAACAGGAGCAATTCGATACCCCACACGGAACCAGTGCAGAGCGAAACCTGCCAAACCATCCAGAAATCCCTTCTATGGATCTGTTTTGAGGACAAAGTTTCATTTGGATGTATGAAGCTGCAAACAGGAAACCTGTTCTATCTTTCCTGCACCGTGACAGATTTTGGTCCTTTAGTTCCAAGATTCGGGTTTCTTTTTTTCTCCTGGGGTGTGAGCAGAGAAGCTTCACCATCAGGGAAGCTGGAGCTGGGGAAAAAAAGAGGCGTTCTAATTTTTGCCTGATCCAAACCGCTCTGCCCTAAGTAATCATGAGCTGCTTAGTAGTTTCCAGATCAATAAAGGAATTTTGCTGTTTCGATAAAATCACTGTTTCAAGACGAGGGATACCAAAGAACGTAGTAAAATAGTAAGTTTTACTCTCATCTTTGCCACTGAAGACTCCTTCACAGGTGTGATTGTCTCAGTGTCTCTTTACCCGGCTACTCGAGAGCCAAACTTTCTCCTGCATAAACCCATCGGCAAGACAAGGACTCCAGTGCCTCCGTGAAATGGGAAGCATATTAAGGCCAATCAAAGGAAGGACAATTGGCTGCTTCATAGATACCAGATTTCTCCAGATGTCGGCCATCGAAAGAAATAACTAAGTACCCCAGACGTTTATTTTTTGTTGGAAACCGTATTTTTGTCTCCTGCATAAATAGTTGCTTAGCTAGAGCCGCTAGTCCATTTTCTCCTCTCCCTCCAGGCGAGGCGGGACGCCGTCCCTCCACCTCGTGGGCTCCGGCACGTAGGGGTCAAACGTCCACCTGGGAAAGACCCGCTTGTACAAGGTCATCAGCACCGTGTCCTGGGACTTGAGCTGCCCATCGAACTGGCACTTCATGTGGCCATGGGTTCCTGGCAGCCAAAAGGAGAGTCAGCGCAGGCAGCCAGCGAGGGAGGGAGATTTCCTGGGCTGCTCCCCCCGCCCCCCCGCAAAAAAAAGCGCTTTCACCCGCTTACCCAGAGGTTCCTTGATGTGGCCACGGCGACCCCACTTGGTCCGGAGCTCCACCGGTTTGAACCACAGGACATCCTCTGCCGGAGAGGGAGAAGGAAGAAGTAGGAAGACTCCCGGCAGGTATGACGACCCAAAAGGGCGTGGCACAAAGGCAACACAGTCACATCAGTAAGAAAAGTCCCTTTTATAACCTCCAACTTTGCCCCCAATGTCCAGTTGCCTTCGGCTGGAGAAAAAACTCTCCCAAAACAGTCTTTAAAGGGAGGAAATTCAGTCCGAAAACAAAGTACATATAAACTACATAAAAATCCACACAAACCATAAGCTGCAGCAATTAACGGGGCAGGAGAAGGAATTGCAGCCTTGAAAGGCCAGCAAAACACACCCAATTGGGAAGACGCCAGGAATGCAGATAACCCTCGACCATAACAGATAACACAATTTCCTACAAATTGCTGTGTGCAACCCTCCCTTTTTAAACACTGTGTTCGCAGCTGCCGCTAATGAAGGGAATCAGGGCCCTTTCCTCCCCCGTAAGCCACACAACTCACATTGCTCCCTCCTCCCTGCGTGCCCTAGGATGAAGAGGGGGTGGGCCTGGATCTTCCGAATTCCCTCTCCCTTGTTCTACCTCTCCCCTGCTTTGCCCAGCCGGACTGTGCCCTTTCCCAGTTTCCTCCACAGCCAATGAAGCCACACTCCCACTCCCTATCAGCTGCTTGGCCTCCCCCTCGGAATCAGATTCCAACACGGGGATGACAGCACGGTTCAGAGCAACCCCCGAGTTTGTAGTCACAGACAAGAATGGCATAAGCTCTATAACAGAAGTCTCCAAACTTGGCAACCTTTAAGACTTGTGGACTTCAACTCCCAGAATTCCTGAGCTAACAAGACAGAAGGAGGAATTCTGGGAGTTGAAGTCCACAAGTCTTAAAAGCTGTCCAGTTTGAAGACCCCCCGTTCTGTAAAGCAAGCATACCCAGCACAGACCTGGGGTGTGTGTGTGTGTGTGTGCTGGGGAGGGAGTGGATTCCTACAACACTGCCAGTGGTCAGAGCAGCTGCAGACAGGTGAGCCCTGCACTACCCATCCTTTGAATGGGGTCCATTTTTCTCAGTGAAGTTACTGCAATTCCCCCTTCCCACACCGGACTTTGGGTACAGTACCTCTGTTGAAGAACATGTAGCGCACGACGGCCAGCTTGCTGAAAATCTTGAACGGGTGGCCACTGAGCACCACCCGTTTAACGACTACCCGGTTGGGGTCGACGCTGAGCAGGGAGCCCGTAGCCAAGAGGTTCTGCACTCCTGCAAAGAAGCCCAAGTGGGAACCCTGTGACGCCAGGAGGTGAGACGGGCCCAGGGCGCAACTTCAGGCTGGGCAATCGACAACCCGCGTTTGCAACGAGGAATGGAGCCCACCCGACTCCAAAGGGGCAGAAAAAGTGCCGAGGCTCCAATCCAAGCCACGTTTTCAGCTAACCTCGCGGATAACGTGGCCACCAGGTGGGATAATGTCCCACGTGGGCCACACACTGTATTCAGCATAGCGGCTGAGGCTGTTGGGAACTATAGTCCAGCAACCGGTTTGTTACCGCTGCATGCAGCTTTTAACACAAATCTGAAAGAACCAGAGGAGTGTCACCAACCAACCAGGCCCAAGGCAATGCACAAGCCCTTGGCGCGCTTCGCTGGGGAGAAAGCCCCACACCGCCTGTCCCCACCCCATGGAAAACAGGATGTGCTCTGGGACATTCCCCCTCTAGGCCCCACAGGGACCCAGAATGAAGGCTGACCAGCTAGATCGAGGGTCAAACCGGGCAAGTTTTAAGACTTGTGGACTTCAACTCCCAGAATTCCCGAACTAACATGACTGGAGGAGGAATTCTGGGAGTTGAAGTCCACCAATCGTAAAGCTGTCAAGTTTGAAGACCCCTGAGCTAGAAGGATAGGGAAATGCCGTTTTCCATTCCCAACTGCTGAAGAGGAAGATGTCCCCTCCTGGCACCCTGAAGGCAATGTGAGAGGGACCATCCAATCCATCTGCAGGTAACAGGTCACGGGAGGCTGCTGGAAAGGGGGGCAGAATCCAGAAATGCCAGCGGAAGCGGGTGGCGGCAGCAGCCGTTCACCAGAGGATGCCAACACAGGGGAGCCCGTACTGACCCCAGGTACCGTCCCGGTGCCCAACTCACCGTTGTTCTCCTGTTTGAAGAGCAGCACCGAAGCAGGAGGAAAAGTGATGGGGGCATAGATGGAGGCCACCACCGCAGTGTCAGCATGGAAGAACTTCTCCAGCTTGTGTTTATCCGCTGCAAAGAGGGGAGGAAGGGGTTGCGTGTTTAGTTTGGCTGGACCGAGAGACTATTTGTAGCTCAGGGTTGACCTCATGAGGTTGGTCCTTGGTGCTCTCTGAGCTTGGTCATTTTCATGCAGACGTTTCGTGACCCAACTATTTAACACCATCTGTGCTAGAAAGGGAGTGGAGTTTGCTCTCTCCACTTGTATACAAGTGGTTTGCCCTGTCGGTGCTGGTGGAGCGATCTTGCTGGTTCCTTGGTTAGGCTGCTGTTTGGTTGTTTGTCTGAGTCGGTAGCTCCTTCACTGGTTTACTGTTTGATTCCTGGTGTGAGGTTAACCCTGGTGTTTAAGCACAGATCCTGACATGAAGCCATTTGTTCCTCAAAACGAAAAGGCTTTCTATCTCACAGAAAAGCTTCTGGAGCGGCTTACCAAGATCAAAAGGAAAACAGCCTTTACCTTTCTTGGCATTTACAGTTTTAAACAGCGTGGCACAAAAAGGAAGCGGATCGGGAGGGAAAAGCGACACAAACGTATGTTAGCAGCTCA